TAATAAAGTAATAAATTATATCATATAATAGGTATAAGAAATAATTAAATACTTAATATTTTAATCAGAATCAATTAAATTATTAAACATTTTAATGGATTTTATTTTCAAGAAATTACCTATGATTGTTTGTAAGATTGTTTGTAAGATTGTTCCTGATATTATTATTATTGATTATTTAACTCTACAAAATCGAATTCACCACAAGAAATACATACGAAATGATATTATGTCGCATGAAGAATGAAAAAAAAATTATTCGGGATTTCGGGTTAACCCRAATATTTATTYGGGTTTTGGTTAATACGGGTGTTTTGAAAACAGAATCATTCGGGTTATACGGGTTTTGGGTGTTTGATTTTTTAAAGGTGTTTAGGGGTGTTAGGGGTTCGGGTTAAATCGGGTGCAAGGCCCTGGCTATAATGATTACAAAAATCACCAAAACGTATAACAATATTTAAAAACAATTAGTTGTCATTATAGAGGAAAAAAATTGTGATGTTTTTTGATTTTTTTATTGTAACTTTTTAACTTTTGTAATTGTGGTAATATTGTGGACTTTAATGAATTTGTACAGTTAGTGCTTATAGTATTTTAATTTATACAACAACTAGGTATAACACTTTAATTTTTGATTTTCAACTTTTTTTTAAAATATATTTTATTTAAACGTACATTATCCGCTCTGAATTAATCATTGAATTCAAATCAAACACACCCAGATAACTTCTGTACAGCAGAGCGTTATAAGTATACCTAATTATTCACCTTTTTTTATAATTCAAAATGTTAACATAGTAGTAGGTATAATGAAAATAATATGTTAAATAAGATAAAAACAATAGATGTAGGTAATAGATAACTTATAATTATAACTTCTATAACTTATAACTTCAGTACAGCAGAGCGGTGTAATCACCTTTTTTTATAATTCAAAATGTTAACATAGTAGTAGGTATAATGAAAATAATATGTTAAATAAGATAAAAACAATAGATGTAGGTAATAGATAACTTATAATTATAACTTCTATAACTTATAACTTCAGTACAGCAGAGCGGTGTAATCACCTTTTTTTATAATTCAAAATGTTATAATAACGGTAAACATTATTGCTCGTACGATGCCATCTTTACATGAATCAAAATATAAGATGGTTGATTTAATTTTAGTTTTCAATAAATTTAAAATACTTCAATGAATCATTCTCTAAAGATTTTTAAAAGCATGTTTCAATAACTTTTTATGGTGGTAAATGCAACTTAATCGTCATAAATACATTTTTCATAAAATTAAAACCTAATATATTATATAAGTAATACGTACTAACTAATCCAGCATCTAAAAACATAAAACAATAATAAKTCGTTATTTATGGGACATTATTAATGGATATAGAAGTATATAATATACGCTTTTAAAATATTCAATGAATTAGAATGATTTGAAATCGATCGAAATGTTGATAAATAATAAATTTTAAAATGTTTGTAGCTTATGAACACAGAGTAAATATATTATAGACAAGGGAATAGGTAATAATAGTTATACCTAGTATCGGAGTAACAAGCACTAACTATAGTCAGGTGAATGAAAAGTGGCCGCTGGCAATATGATAGGAACCTTTTTTTTTTCGATAAGCCATGGGTTCTCAAAGTGAATCACGTAAAGCGCGAATGATAACAACATCTGGCCGGTGCGCGGTTGAAAACGTTTTTTTTGCTTTTTGGCTTCGTCCTTATGGTTTAGTTACCACTTGTGACCTTCGGCGTTTGTAGTATATTTAATGGAGGGACTCATCCCGGTGGGACAACATATATAAACTACATGAGGAATGTGTATTGTACTATTGTACCCATAACATCTGCTTCCCTACCACGATATTCGTCATTTGGTTACGATTTTTGTCCGTGTTATGTTGTGTTTTGTTACATTTGACTTCAGAAAGTGAATTTAACCATTACATTATTATTTACTACTGTTTTTTAAATAAAGTTTTTTTTTAAATTCTATAATGGCTGGCAATAGTAGTGATACTCGTAGTCAGAGCAAAAAAATCATTTTTTCGGTGTACAATTTTATAAAAGACTTATCGAAACAAAATGAAATTGTTCCATCTATGTTTGCTCAAAGCCTAAAGGTAACAGCTGAAGCTTGTGGATTATCAGAACGAACTGTGAGGCGCATATACAAAGAGGGTAAGGATAATTTGGATCCAGAACAACAAGTTGCTTCGTTCAAGTCTCCGCGTAAAACGTATAAACGTGCAAAACCGTTGACTGAATTAGACGATTTTGATGCAGATATAGTACGTAGAACAGTTCACGAGTTCTACAATAGAGGTGAGTACCCAACAGCTCTTACTGTTTTAACGGAGGTATAAAAAAGAAGTGCAATTGGGAAGGCTCTGTTTGGTCGATGCGTACGCTTCTTAAAAATTTGAAATTTTCTTTCAAAAAGTGCAACGATGGAAGGAAATTTCTCATGGAAAGGAACGACATTGTTGCACTACGTTGTGCATTTTTAAGAAAAATTTGTACACTTCGAGATCAAAACGACACCCATCCTGTCGTTTATTTGGATGAGACGTGGATTAACCAAAACCATAGCAGAACACGCATATGGCAAAATGACGAAAATACCGAAGGTTTAAAAGTACCCACTGGCAAAGGAGGTCGTCTTATTATTTGACACGCAGGGTCTGCAAAATATGGGTTTGTTAGCGATTCCAAATTAATATTTCGAGCTAACGTTAGTAGTCTTGAGAGTGACTATCATACCTCAATGAATGCTGAGGTATTTAAAAAATGGTTTATTGATATGTTGAACCACCTCGAAGAGCCGTCGGTTATTGTGATGGACAATGYATCTTACCACTCAATGCTCAAAGATAATTTCCCCAAAAGCAATAGTCGAAAAATCGTTGTCGAAGAGTGGCTGAAAAATAAAAATGATGAATTTTCACCACAAGAACGGTTTTCTGAATTACGTGAGCGTGTAAAACAACTTATTCGAACATATAAGCGATACGAATTGGACGAAATAGCACTGGAAATGGGCCATGACCAAATTGAATTGATCTGGGCACAGGTTAAAGGGGAGGTAGCTAAAAAAAATAATACTTTTAAGATGACAGACGTAGAAAAGTTGGCGCACGCAGCTATGGATGCAGTAACACAGGAGGGTTGGCAGAAGTGTGTTGCACACGCGGAAAAAATTCAAGATGAAGATAATAGCAAAGAAATATTAAGGGATGTCATGTTGGAGCCGATCATTATCACATTACAAGACGACGATAGCGCTTGGGGTGATGAAGATGATAAAGACATATTTGAGGCCGATCTTTAGTTTAAGTTTCTTGGATTGAAATAAATTATTTTCTATATATTTGATCTGAATTTGTATTATATATGACTTGTACATAGGTACATTTGAATGACTTCTGTATTAAATTAAATTATTATTGCTTATATTTTTATTAAAATTMTTGATTTGTATTGGAATAACATGTAATTGCATTATGGTTAATAATTCAAAATTCGCGYGCTTTTTTCCATAATTTTGCGGTACAATGACAAAAATTCACCRCTAGGCGCGTGGGCATCAGCGGCCACTTTTCATTCACCCGACTATAAACGAACGATAACTGATGATTAAAGAAAAACTCAAGAAAGATGATCATTAAAAAAGCTGAGATAAAAATACCATAAATTGAATTTAAAAAAAAAATACAAAATTCACATACCAATCTTCGCTAGAAATAAATAATCAAACATAAAATTTAGTGAATTATATTATATGCTTAATGATTCACATAATCTAAAAAATATACTATAATAGGTACCTATACGCCTTCATTCTACAAAACATTTCATTTCGTAGAACTTTACAACGATCTATCGATGGGAGTAGATCGTTTGCGAGGTTTAAAATTTTCAAGATGGTGGAACATTTAATATAAGCTTATTCGTATGTTATTACAACAATTAAATAATATATATTTGTTTTCATTAAATAAAAGTGTGTTAGACCAGTAAACCCGAAATTAATATTATTTCAAGTCTCCATCATACCTCTAAGTTATAAGCGCAAATCTAAATTCATTTTAGAGAGTACAGTAGAAGTATATTATATACGCTTTTAAAATATTCAATGAATTAGAATGATTTGAAATCGATCGAAATGTTGATAAATAATAAATTTGAAAATTTTTGTTTATTTTAATAGCTTATGAACACAGAGTAATTATATTATTGACAAGGGAATAGGAAATAATAGTTATACCTAGTATCGGAGTAACAAGCACTAACTAAACGAACGA